TATTTATATGAGCAAACTCTTTCATTGATTGTTCTTTTTTTTCTGATCTTTCTTTGTTTATTTGTCTTTACAGAAGGTTGCAGTGCTCAGTGGGCACAATGTGGCGGTATTGGATGGAATGGTCCAACATGTTGTGATCAATCAACATGTGTTGTTAGTGATTCATATTATTCTCAATGCAGACCATCAGGAGCATCATCTGGTACTGGCAGTGGATCAACACCATCTACAAATGATGGTCGTCAATCTGGTGTAACTACTCGTTATTGGGATTGTTGTAAAGCAAGTTGTGGATGGCCAGGTAAAGCTTCTGTAACAAGTCCAGTTAAAACATGTGGGGAAAATGGTACTACACCTGTTGATTCTAATACTCAATCAGGCTGTAATGACGGTTCTGCTTATATGTGTGTTGATCAACAACCATGGAGTATTAGTTCAACTCTTTCATATGGTTTCGCTGCTGCTCATATTGCTGTAAGAAAATAAAAAAATTCAATTCATCTTTTGAAATAAAAACAATATATGTATGTAATATTGTTTTTTTTTTATTAGGGACAAGGTGAAGCAAATTGGTGTTGTGCTTGTTATTCATTAATATTTACATCAGGACCTGTTGTTAATAAAGAATTAATAGTTCAAGTAACAAATACAGGTGGTGATCTTGGTAATAATCATTTTGATCTTCAAATGCCTGGTGGTGGAGTTGGTCTATTTGATGGATGTTCACGTCAATTTCCTGGCTCATATTCATGGGGTCAAACATATGGTGGTGTTAGTCAAAGATCAGATTGTGCTAATTTGCCAACTGCTATTCAAGCAGGTTGTTATTGGAGATTTGATTGGTTTATGAATGCTGATAATCCAACGATCAGTTTCAAACAAGTACCTTGTCCATCTGAACTTATTGCAAAGACTCAATGTAGCAGACTTTAAATTAATCCAAAAAACATTGTTTTCAGAGACATATATGTAGTTATTGAAGATTATTTTGTTATGAATTTCACTAAGAATTATAATCAATATGAATAAATATTAGCTAGACTCACTCAATATGCGTTGATGTTGCCAACAAATACAATCATTTTTTTTTGATCATTGAGAACAATTAAAAAGATTAATTTCGAATTTTTTCTGCTCTGCATATGTTAGGAGCACAATTGTAATTCTATATAGTTTTGATTGGACACAATTAGAATTTGACTGAAGATAAATTTATACAATCATGTGTTTTACTAAAAGTAGAGTCAAATAACAAAAAAAAGAAAAAAACTTTAATCATAACGATTGTGTCAATAAGTAATATAAATCTAGATGTATGCATCACAATCTAATAAAAGAAACAATCTTTAAATCGGATTCAACAAATCGATTGCACATGCGATGGTAAAGACATGTGTGCTACAAAACAATATTTATGTAAAAAGAAATGAGAGTTTTTCATTCGAAAAAATGTCATTCCAAACGTGGTGATTGTAAAAATATGGGTGAATAGACTAAAGTGTTTACGAAAATAAAAAAGAGAGTGTTGAATAAAATTAGTTATTCTATTCAAATTTTATTTATTTCGATTTTATGAATTTATCTCTATTCATATTCTAATTTTGCTTCAAACACATTTACAATATTATGGAGGTTCATCATTTGAATTTTCTGAATAAATTATAACTGAGATAAGATCCTTAAGTTTTATCATTATATTGATATAAGCCAAATCAGGGTAATATGTTTAGTAAAAACAGAAAGCATATTGATTTGAGTTGTATCAATAAGTTTCATGAACTTATCGAAACAAGAATGTATAATTGTAAGTTAATTTAATTGAGAGATATCAAGTTTTATTTATTATCAACTTTAACAATCAATAAAAAGAAATAAAAATAAAAAAAAATCAAATATTTGAAATTCACTCAAATCTTTTGTTTATTACTTCTTGTTTTGGAATTATTTGATAAACTCTTTCCATACATATCTTTTATATTCATCATTTCTTAATTATCTTTCAGACATAAATATTTGTATTGAATTTTATTCGATATATCTAATCAATAAATTTATCATTGATATTCTTATCAACTAGAAGAATCTCTATCCAGATGGGAGAATATTACGAAGATCGTATGAGATCTTACTAACAATCAAATATCATAAGATTTGATATTGTATGATCTTACGGTATTGTATAAATATTCTACTGTAATATTTAATATTTATATGACTATAAAATGCTACTGTGAGTTTTACATAATTCTTGCAAAGTCTGATAATCGGCATCTTTTAAGATCATAATTTTAGATCTCAATTATACAAATATTTTTGATAATGATAGTTTTGTGTATTTAAATAAATATTTAAATGATTAAATACGTTCTAATTTAGATACTACTTTTTGAGAATTGATAAAAAATTTTCCATGTAGCAGTATTGATCTACTAAAAAATCACTATAGATAATTGATTAAATAGAAGTAGGTTTTCTTTTAAATTGTTTTATTTCATTATTTTAGATCACTTTAACGATTAAATTCAATAAAAAAAATTTTTTTTCAATGTCTTTTAAGTACATCCAAGTCAACCAATCAGACAGCAAAATGAGTCACAGATGGTTACACGTTTGTGTAAGATGTTACTTCAAGATTTTGCAGGTTCATACAAGATCATACGAAAAATCATCGTCTATGACATCTTATATCAAAGCTTACACTAAGCGCCATATAAGATCCATCAATACGATCTTGTATAATCATGAAACATCATGCAGTCAGTTTCTATATGATCTTATAAGAATCATAAAAGGATCTTATAATGGAATCGTTTGACATGGGTACATAAAAATGATTAAATCAATCTATGACATTTCTATTCATACCATAAATAATGAAGTAGCATATCTCATTCAATGTTCTTAATGAAGCGGCATGTTTTATCAAGTACTCTATGTCATATAATATAGTCTAAATTTAAAATAGCGTCAAATATTCTTTCGAAACAACTTTCGTACTCGTTCATACTCATACACACACACTTGAAAAAAAATAAGAAACAAAGAATTTTCAATAAATAATTATATCTATAAATCTAACACTTGATTTTCTCTATTAATTGATAAACATATTTACAATACACAATACTTTATTTATATTGAATTTAAACAAAAAAGAAAAAGAAAGAAAAATTGACAATAAGATATTAAAGCACCACAGAAAAATAGTTCATGGTCTATGTTTTAATTTAAACTAGTTATATGTGTATTCGATACAAGATCATATTTAATACGTTCGGATGATGTTGTCATTGAATTAGTCCCAGTTTTTATTCGACGATGATTATTTATATGTGCTTTTAATGGTAATGATTTATTTGTTTTTCGTTGTACAACACAATATGTTTTACTTGCTGTAACTGTTTCACTACTATTATGATTAACTAAATGATTTGATAATACATTCGAACATGTTAAAAATTGTTTAAACGCTTTACGAAATGGTTCAGATAAAAATGCATATAATATTGGATTAACACATGAAGATATATAGACAAGACTTTGAGCAACAATAGCAAATAATATTGTTACTTGATTATGATGTGTATATAATAAATATATTTGCATTGGTGTCCAACATATAACAAATGATGATATAACAGCTGAAACCATTTTTGTAACACGTTTTTTACCCTTGGCTACTTGTTTACCTTTAGCATTTTTACGTAAAACATTTATAATAAGACCATAGAGTATAACAATTACAATTAATGGAACAATTAAACCAAATAAAGCAAAAAAATAAGCTGTTACACGACGAGCTGTATTTAAAAAAGGACTATCACCACGAAATAAACATACCCAAGCATCAGTACTTGAATCGGCAAGTAATACATCATAATAGACCCTTTGAAAAAAAATATATATATAGATTTAATTCTAAATTCAAATAAAACAAATTGATTAAACGAAAAGATTTCTTTCTATACTTATATAATCCAAAAAAATTCTTACATGTTAGGTGAAGCAAAAATAATCCCAATTAACCAAACAATAATGACAGCTAAATGTGCATTACGTTCCGTTCGATATTTAACTGATTTAACAGCGAAAACAACACCAAGAAATCGATCAATTGACATTAATACAAGTATATAAATACTAACATATGCACTTAAATACATTAATGTATTTGCTAATTTACATAAAAGTTTTGGAAAATAATATGAATGAACAACATATACATATATTGTATGTGGTATACACATAAGTACAAATGAGAGATTTGCAATAGCCAAATGTAATATAAGTGCATTTGTTGTATTACGCATTTGTTTAACTGTAAAGACGGTTAATATAACTAAAATATTTCCAATTGTACCAATAACAAAAACAAGTGAATAAAGCGGAATAATAAGATAAAGAAGATGATCGGGTGCTTCATCATCAGATGATAATTTTTCTTGGGAATTTGATGAATAATTTGATAAAGTTGAATTAAGAAATGTTGAATCGTTATTAGGCATTATATTTAAATTATTAAGAAAAAAATCAAGTGAATAATAACGCCAATTAAGATTTGGAGGAGAATATGAATATTGTTGAATATCAGGCGAAGATGCACCAGTTAAAACACGAGATAAATGATGAGATGATCCATGAGGATTGGGTAATGAATAATCGAGTTCGGCAAACATTCTCACGTTGAAAGGAAAGATGAATTGATTCTTTACAGAAAAATAAATATACATCTATGTGTATTTTTAGAAATTTCAAATAAAATATCTTCAGGTGTTTTTTTCATGAAATTAATATTGTTTTATAAATATTCGATCAATTAAATCGTTTTTTCTTCTAAGGAATTATTTGTGTTTCGAATAGTTAATATCGATTGACCTATTTATTTGATCGATCGGAGATAATCATACGTACACTGATTTGCATCTTTTTGTATTTATTTAATAAATTGCGAAAAAATAAATTCATCAATTTATTATCACATCCATATCAAAATAAAGTTCATTTGTGTCTTCTCTTTTTCTCTATAGGTTTTATTCGATAGAGGCGAATGCTCATCTTTTCTGCTATAGTCCCTATACAAAACATATCTTTCTTTTTTTTTCTGTTTAGAGAACAACAACAAGAGATTGCTTTGTTGCATGCCGTCTTTGCATCGACATTTACAAGTGTAGTCAAATAGTACTCTATTGTTTGTTAACGATATGAATGTATGCGAATATACATTTCTATTCCTATGGGCCCTTCAACAGACATATAGTCTATGTGACTAGTTTTTTTTCTCTTCTTTTCTTGTTGCCGAAAGACGAAAAAGGACGAAAGAGGCGTGAGCCGGAAAGTGGCTTGTCTCTTAATGCCAATCAGTCGTTATAGATAGAAACTGACTAAATCGTGCGACGTGCATATGCATTCATAGATGATTCAATGAACAGATTATGGATGTTATACGTGCAAAAAAAGCGACCACAGAACTTTCATCTGATTATTTTTTTTTTATGTCTGCTATTATGATATACATATTAAATATTCCAATCCACTTCGGCAAAGAAAAAAAACTTGTCGCATTAGCATTTCTTTTTTTAAAGCTATATAACTATTATTCTGTTGTTGACATCGAAGGGAAGTTTCATTTGGTTCGAGTATACTTTGAATTCAATAGAGAACGAATGATAGTAGCAAAAGAAAAACAAAATAGAAGATACATTTGTTGTATCTATAATCCTATACATCGATTAGTGGATGATGATTGAAATGCATGCGTCTTATATTTGAAAATCTTTTCTATGTTAAATGCATATATTTATAGGATAACAAGTTAAAGGAATCAATACCTACATAATGTGTAGTAACTAATAGAATGAAAATTATTATGTTTGATGAATATAGACAAGAAATTTTACATATCTATCAGAATGTCCATCAATATAATAGAGATGAAGACGTCAATTGAACACAGAAATGGAACAGAGTGAAACATTGCACATAACAATATGTCGGTAAACACATGTCGTTAATAGATCTAATAGTCGAAGGGACCGAGAGATCGTTACCATTCGTTCTATCACTCAATATATTCATCTCCATACGTTATCTATCTGACAAGCACACATATTACTATTCTTCATAAAGCTCAGGAATAGTTTTATCGTAGTTAGTATGTCGAAAACTAACTAAATAGCTATCAACAACTTTTGAGAAGTTAATCATATTGGTTTCTCCTATATGATCTTATATGCTATCATAAAACTAATAGTAATGTCACAGGAACGTTCTATCCCTCAAATAAATTTCGTCGTGACATACTAACAAAAAGTAATTATCTGAATAGGTGTATATATATATATATATATATTATGAATATAGAATAGAAAAAAGACCGACCGACCATCTTATCAATTCTTTTGAAAATAAAATAACTCATTCAGGTGACATGATATATTGCCTTTACCATTGATACTGTCGTTTGTGTTGTTTTTCCCTATTCTTAGTAACCACAATTATTTGACACAATTTTAGTTCCTGTCGATAGAAAAACTATATGTTCGGCATTATTGTCATTAATGTTATAACAAGCATAGGAAAGAGATTATACCTTAATAACTTCGTATTACTTTTATTCTATATGATGTTTTTTATTCGCTCATATTTCTATTAATACATCATGATGATGTTCATTATGATCAATGAAAAAAAAAATAAGTAGAATTTAATGTATAAACAACACTAGATGTATTACATTTATCCGAATATTTGAATAATGGCTGCAAGGGAAAAAAAAGCAAAGAAGCATACAAATCAGTATAAATAAACATTTCTTCGAGCGGATTATATCTTGATTATACTTATTTATATTTATGTGTATGTATGTCCTAGCCACCTACCCAGTGCCATTATATGTTGTTTGAATGAACGTTTATGTTCTTGAAATACTTGTTGTAAATCGTTGACAAATGTGTGAGAAGGAATTATATATATATATATATATATATGTGTGTGTATATATATATATATATATATATGTGTGTGTATATATATATATATATATATATATATGTTAAAGCATAAGAGCAAAGCTCAAGAGTCTTAGTCGGTTGTCGATGGTAAGTGGAAAAAGCAATCACATAGAAGAGCATCTAAAGATTTTTTTTGCTTCTTTTGCTCACGTTCTCTCTTTCTCTCTTCCTCTTTTTTCATTACTCTTCCTCTTTTCCATTGAATTTCTAATG